CCTCCAGCTCTACCTTTTTCTTTATAAAGTAAACAAAGACCAAAACAAGGGCATCATCATGACAGTGAAGAGACAAAGTACAGAATAGGAAAAATATTTGCAAGCTATATTTCTCACAAGGGTTTAAGATCTAGAACATGTAAAAAACCTCAACAATAAAAAGAAATCCAAATAAAAAATGAACAAAGAACTTTAATCAGCATCTCTCCAACTCTAGAGATATATAAACGGCCAATTATATTAGTCACTTTTCATTGCTGTGACAAAATACCTGGCAAAAGAAATTTAAGGAAAGGAAGGTTATTTTGGCTTCTGGTTTAAGAGAGCATTGTCTATCTTGGAGGGAAGGCATGGCAGAGTTCACATGTGGTTGGGACTCCTCGCATCTGGATAGACAAAGAAGCAGACAGCATGGAATGTTGTGCCTTCCTCCCTTTTTTAAAAAAATTATTTATTTAATAACCATATAATTAGAAGAAGCATTTCATTACAACAGCATTGACATATTCAATAAGAATTTCCAGAGCTAAGATGCATCTCTTTCAAAATTGGCTGTAAATTTTTAGGTTTACAGTTAAATTAATACAGTTATACAAAATTGTACTTAGTATAAACCCTATAAGACAAAAAATTAAGTGAGGTTGTAAACTTTAAAAAAGATCTCCATTTCACTATTAAAATACACAGTTTCATACAGAAAAAATTATTTTCAATACAATTGACACTAAGATGCACATGCACTTCTAATCGCTATATATCTGATTATTATTAGCTCAGTCGGTTACTTTCTGAGCTCCTTGGCATCTGAGCATGGATATAAAGTCATCAGGTAGATTTCAATTATAGTGATTTTCACATCTACTAATTATTAAGGAGCAAATTTTTATGCTTTGAAGAATTATTATTTTTTATATTTATTTATACACCCACTTCCCAGGTAGCACCCTCCCATAGCCTCCCTCCCTCCACTAGAGCCCTTAAACTCTGATATCCCTGCTACTGTCTGCTGTGTTGTCGACACCCCCAACCATTCCCCACTACTTGCCCTTTTGGTGAATCTAGTCAGAGTATCTAGAGGTCTTTGTTTTAGGAGGGTCAGCTGTTCCTCATCTAGTGGTAATCAGTTGTCAATATTCCTTTGGATAAGATTGGGGTGTGCTGTTCATTTTCCCAGTTATATGCTAGGTTATTTTCTGGGAATCCCTTTGGCCACCCTAGCCAACAACTCAAAGAAGATATCACCTGCCTGGCATTGTGGCTTGTTACGTAGCAATTAGCTGTACATATGGACTCTTATGAAATTATATTGGCTCCTTTAATCTTTGGCTATACTTTCCTTTTGGGTGTTTTAGGTCATACAGTTGGTCCAGATAAACCGATTTATTTTTACTCTTAAGGTTGTTTGAGGAACTGTTGCTCAGGGGTCACATGGGCTTGAGAGGAGCCCCTGGCAATCCTATAATTATTGATTGCAAAAGAAATTGCCAGACAATTCACACAAGGGATAAGTGGGGACACCTTAATTGGGGAAACCATGATGTAGGGATGAGACAATTTGAGAGATAAACAATGCCTAGCTACTTTTGAAAACCAGAGAGAACCATATTACTCCTACAACCTACTGACAAATTATACATAGCAGATCAAGTAATATATGTCTAGGCACAGTTTATCTGAGAACAACTGGTCTTTGCCCAAGATTTATCTACTTGCCTTCCTCTCTTTTATTCAGCCTAACCCAGGTCCTCCAAGGGGCACAGGATTCTGAGTTCCCCTCACCACTTGTGGGGGGCTTTAGCTTTCTGTATGAATGCATATATGTAAGATTCTTTATGTGTATGGATGTGATTCTTTAACATTCAATAAAAGTGTTTGTTGCTCTCTGCTGGTCTGAGATTTTTTATTTCTGCCTTTTAATTCAATTGGTTGAGAAAATGAACTCAACTTTTTTCCTATACTGATAATACCAACCTCAACAAACAGACCAAAGAAACAGCTCCACCCATCTATTGGTGAATCAGTGAGTTTAATTAGGGTTGTTTACAGGAGCACTAGCACAGGGCTACTTACATGGGCTACTTACAAGTGGCTACACCACTAAAGAAAACCTCTTTATACCCCAGCAACTGTTCATTGTTTATACATCCGTATCAGTTAGGGTTCTCCAAAGAAACAAAACCAGTAGAATGAATATATATGTATAGAGATTTATCAGCTTAGCTCACAGGATAGAGTCCAAGTAGTCCAACAATGGCTGCACCACACTGGAGAGGCTGAAAATCTGTAGTCGCTCATTCCACAAGGCTGGATGTCTCAGTAGTCCCAATCTGGCCCTGAAGTTCTACAGAATTCCAAAAGATCAGGTAGTCTTCAGTCTACAGCAGCAAGACAAACTCACCAGTGAGAGAGAAGGCAAGCAGCAAGGAGCTAGGCTTCTCCTATGCCATGGTCTTTTATAACAGGCTGCCATCGGAAGGTAACACCCACATTTAGGGCATGTCTTTCAGCTTCAGATGATCCAATTAAGAAGATCTCTCTCATTTCAATTAATCCCAGATCTAGTCAAGTTAACACCCAGGATTAGCGATCACAAACAGCCTTCAGAGTGCTTATCCCTGAATCAAACAGCTGTTTCAAACCTTTTCCTCCCATAATGCAGGGATCATTGGCAATGGGATGGTTCTTACTAGCTAGCACAGAAGGCTTGGGCACTGGACCAATGAGAGGGACTGGAAATGGTCCAAAAACAGAGGGATGAATGCAGTGCTATTTTGTTCTAATTGGTTTTCTCTAAGTTTGTGATGGTAGATACAATTAACCAGGCTCCAGCGGATGGATGCACATGAAAGGACATTTCAGGATACAAACTTGACTCAATAGCCCTTAATATATATGGCAGTGTAATATATATGACAGATAGGGTCTCTAAGAAGAATGCAGACAAGGAGGGGGTCAAATGTGATCAAAATATAGACTAGGACAATTGTAAAAATTTAAAAAACTCATGATTATAAAACAATTTTTAAATATTTTATTTATTATTTTTATTTTTTGTGTATGAGTGTTATGCTTGCATGTAGGTAAGTGCACCCGTGTCATGCAATACCCATGGAGGACAGCAGAGGCTGTCAGATGCCCTGGAACTGGAGTTATGGACAGTTGTTAGCTGCCATGTGGGTGCTGGGATTCAAACCTGGGTCTTCTGCAAGAACAGTCAGTGTTCTTAACTGCTGAGCCATTTCCCAACCCCATAAAGTAATAATTAATGATGAAAAATAGTAATAAAGTTTTGGAAACATGGTGGGCAACATCTCTTTAGGTTCATTCTGTTCCTCATTCTCCTTTCATGTATGGTATGATATCTAAGCCATTCTGATCTACATAGTGAGTTCCAGGCCAGCTGGGGCTACAGGGAGACCCTGTCTCATAGATAGCCAACAAACCAACAAACCAAAATCTCAAACTCAAAAACATATGTTTGTTAAACTATTTCTGGTCCACAGTCCACTGAAATGTTTTTCATGGTTTTATTTTATAATATAGAAGATATAGATATATAGAT